TGCAACCAAAACAACCGAACAGACAACTGAACAGGCTGCATTGGGCAGCCAGGCCGGCAGGGGAGTGGTTAGTGAGGGATGATCAAACAACTGAGCAGCATCCTGCATGGGGCAACTAGGCTGGCAGGGGAGTTAGTGAGGGATGACCAAATGACTGAGCAACAGGTTGCCTGGGGAGATCAGGCTGATGGGGTTAGTGAGGGATGACCAAATGACTGAACAGCAGGTTGTGTGGGGCAACCAGGCCAGCAGGGGGGGAGGGAGTTAGGGATGACCAGGCCATGGGGGGGCACTTAAGGGTGATCAGGCAGGCAGGCAGGCAGGTGAGCAGTTAGGAGCCAGTGGTCCCTGATTGTGAGAGGGATATTCGACTACCCTGTGGGATTGGGCCTAAACTGGCAGTTGGACATCTCTCAAGGGGTCCCGGATTGAAGAGGGTGCAGGCTGAGCTGAGGGCTCCCCACCCATACATGAACTTCACATACAGAATTTGTCCCCTCCTTTTCAAAAGAAGAAAGTGCCATGGAAGGGCAAAGAGCAGAGTCAGAGACCATGAAGCCAAAGGAAAAAAGTCTCTGAAACCAGAATGAAGTCCTAGAAATGACTGGGATAATACAGAAACAAAACAAAACAAACAAACAAACAAAAAACACAAAACTATTCCACTTTCAGTTTAGCAATGTACTAGATATTGGAATATCAAAGGCACATTAGGTCCTATGTTCAAAGAACTCCTAGTCTAAGACAAGTCACATGAGCACTCACCAGAATGTTCTTCCCCCGGGTAAGAAATAATGCCACGATGTACTACTCCCTCAGATCTCTGCTTAGCTGTCACCTCCTCAGAGAGACTGATCCTGCTCGCTTGATATAAAATAGCACACACACCACTCCTCCCAACCTTTCATATCCTCCCACTCCACATTTTTTAACCTTTTTATTCAAGTATAATATATATACAGGAAAATTTTATATTATACATATACCTAGTTAACTAAATTTCACAAAATGAATGTACACAAAACTCCAGCATCCAAATCAAGGAACAGCATTAGCAATGCCCAGAAATACCCATCTTGTCCAGTCTCAACCCTTCCTCCATGGATAATCACCATCCTGATTTCTAACAGAATAAATTAGAATAAATTACATAAATGGAATCACACAGAATGTACTCTCTGGGGATTGACTTCTTTCACTCAACATCAAGTTTGTGCAATTCATTCAGGTGATTGTGTGTCATTTTCATTCATTCATTCTCATTGCTTTATCGTGTTTCATTACATGAATATGACACAAATTTGTCCATTCAATCTTTGATAGGCATTGGGGTAGTTTTCAATTTTGAGTTATTAGGAATAAAGCTTCTATGAGCATTCCAGTACATATCTTTGGGTGAACATTTCTGTTGTGCATAGACTTTGGAGTGAAATTGCTGGGTCACAGACTTACATTAAAAAAAAAAGATTTTAAGAAATTATTAAATCTTTCATGTATTAAAAACAGTGTTTAGATATATATTCATACGTACAGACTTAAAACTTAAGAAATAAACTATTACTGCTATAGTCCATTCAGGCAGCTATAACAGAATACCAGAGCTAAGGGGACTTATAAACAACAAGCACTTATTTCTCACATTTATGGAAGCTGGGAAGTCCAAGATCAAGGCACCAACAGATTCAGTGTCTAGGGAAAGCTCACTTTCAGATTCATGGATTGCCATCTGTTTGCTGTGCTCTTATAAAGAGACTGTGAGGTCTCTTTTATAAGAGCATTAATACCACTCATTAGGTCTCTATCCTTATGACCTAAGCACCTCCAAAAGTCCCCACCTCCAAACACCATCACATTAAGGATTAGGTTTCAACATATGAATTCGAAGGGAAACACAAACATTCAGTCTATAGCAATTATCAACAATTTTAGACTTTTTGTACTTCTCTCTGTCTCATCCCCCTCTCTATGCCAATAGTAACCATTATTCCAAATTTTATTATTCCCTTGATTTTTATTTTTTTGAAATATATTTCCCTGTTGTGTGCGTATGATCTCCCTGAATGATACATTTAGTTTTTTGGTTTTTTTAATGATTTTGAACTTGGTGTAAATGGAATTCTGTTTATTGTTCTTCATAGCACTTCTCACCAATTAACATTTATTTTCTTATTTATTTATCATCTTGGTCACCCTCTCCGTCACAGCTCCTTGAAAACAAACAAAAATATATTTTTTCTTACTCGCTATTGTACGTCCAGTTCCAAGAAGAGTGTGTGGTACATAGAAGGTGCTCAACGGACATTTGGTGAATGAAATAATGAGAGAAACTTTGCTTTCTATATGACTAGTATGATTCAAGCTGTTTGTGAAAAATGAAACTATTTGGATGATGGCTAATAAGCATTGTCCTGCTAAGGGCAAGAAAAACGAGTGCAGGAAATTCAGTAATATTAAATGTAGATTAAAATAACAGGAGACATAGTTGGCCCATGGAGTGATGGAAAAAGCATCAGCCTCAGCAAACTTAGACTGGAATCTGGCTTTGCCACTTGCCAGCAATGTCCCTTAGAGCAAGGCTCAACCTCTCTTGAGTTTCCACTGCCTTGATTGCAAAATGAGAATACTATTACAGGGTATGTAATTGAAGGTTAGATGAGTTTATGGATGGAAATGTTCTGAACAATAAACACAAAGAAAAATTATACTATAAACTGTCATCAATACTAAGACCAGAAAGGCTTTGCGAATTAAACAGCTTCACAAAACCCTCTCTTTACATCTTCCTCCAGGTTAAATTTTAAAAACATACCTTTTTTATAAAAAGGCAACTTCTCTAATTAGCTTTTTCCTCAAGCAATAGTACTTTTATTATTATATAACAAATTGTATAATTCAATTGTTATTATGTTCACAAGTTTGTGCAATCATCATCACTATATAATTCCAGAATATGTTTAGCACCCCAAAAGAAACCCCATGCCTATTAGCAGTCACTCTCTATTATCCCCTCTCCCCAGCCCCTGACAACCACTAAATTGTTTTCTGTCTGGTTTAGATGTACAGAGAATCACAATATGTGGCCTTGTGTGTGTCTGATTTCTTTAACTTAGCATTATGTTTTCAATGTTTATTCATGTTGTGACATGTATCAGTACTTCATTCCTTTTTTACAGTGATATTTGCATTGAATGGATATGTCATTTTTTTATTTATCTATTCTTCTGTTTAGGGATATTTATATTGTTTCCATTTGGATGGTATTATAAACGATGCTGCTGTAAACATTTGAGTATAAGTTTTTGTGTGAATATATGTTTTCAATTCTCATAGGTAGCTATCTAGGAGTGGAACTGCTAAGTCATACAATAAATCTATATTTTATTTTTCCAGGAACATCGGATGTTTTCCACATCAGCAGCACCAATTTACATCCCCACCAGCAATGTGAGGGCTCCAATTTCTCCACATTCTCTCCCAACAAATACTTGTTTTTATTTCTAGCATCATCCTTCACTTTACCTATCAACAATGCCTCAGTCATATAGTATAATTAGTATAATTAGTATAATGAAAACACAATATTCCACCAAAACCGGTTTGGCTCAATGAATAGAGCATCGGCTTGGGGACTGAAAGGTCCCGGGTTCGATTCCGGTCAAGGGCATGTACCTTGGTTGTGGGCATATCCCCAGTAGGGGGGTGTGCAAGAGGCAGCTGATAGATGACTCTCTCATCAATGTTTCTAACTCTCTATCTCTCTCCCTTTCTCTCTGTATAAAATCAATAAAATATTAAAAGCTCCTGCAGTAGGGGACCAATCGATGTGTCACATCGATATTTCTCTCTGTCTTTCCGGCTCTCTTCCATTCTCTCTAAAAATCAATGGAAAAAGATCTTCGGGTGAGGATTTTTTAAAAAAAATATATTTTATTGATTTTTCACAGAGAGAGAGAGGGATAGAGAGTTAGAAATGTCGACAGAGAGAGAATCATTGACCAGCTGCCTGTTGCACACCCCCTACTGGGGATGTGCCCACAACCAAGGTACATGCCCTTGACCGGAATCGAACCCGGGACTAAGTGCACAGGCTGACGCTCTATCTACTGAGCCAAACCGGTGCCGGCTTCGGGTGAGGATTTAAAAAACAAACAAACAAAAACAACACTGAGCCATGCTGACTCCAACCTGGTCAGCATGGCTCAGTGGTTGAGCATTCATCCATGAACCAGGAGATCACGGTTCTATTCCTGGTCAGAGCACATGCCTGGGCTGCCAGCTAAATCCCCAGTGTGGGGTGTACAAAAGGCAGTCGATCAATGACTATCTTTCATCATTGATGTTTCTATTTCTCTCTCCTCCTTCTTTCCTCTCTGAAATCAATAAAAAAAAATGTATTTTTACAAAAAGACTCCAAAGTACTGTTTCTAATTTTTTTCTGGCAGAGAGTATTCAGATTGAAACTGTGTTGCCCAGCAAGGGATTCAATTCACTATCGCAGGGCTCCTCGCAGAATCCTAGGAAGGAGCCGTTTGGAGAACAAATCCTTGTATGAAACGGAGAGCTGTCTGGAGGAAGGGTGAGGGTAGCAGTTGAATAGCTTCTCACAGGCATGTCACTTTATTCTCTTGCTGCGGTCACCTCTGCGGGCAGGCTAGCCAGGAAAAATACCTCCACCCCTCCGCTCACAGGGTCCCATGCTCCTCCCTCCGGCCCCGCCCCTGCGGGTGCACTCCTCCGCCAGCACTTCACCCCGCTACTCGCGCTCCGGTTTGGAGGGGCGGGAACATGGGTGTTTACGAGGGTCTGCGACCAATCCGCGTGCGTCTGGGACAGCGCGATGACGTAGCCGAGCTCCAATCCGCATCCTGGGGGTGGGGCTGAAGGCCGACCGGCGCAACGCGACGCCGGAGGCAGACACACCCTGGTGGGAGCACGTGACCCGGTCCGGAGCCGGAAGCTTCCTATCTGGCTGGGAGCGCCCCCCAGCACCTAAGGCAGCGATGGTGAGTGAGGACGCATGCGCGGGAGGATGCGCTGGGGGCTCCTTGTCCACAAACTCTTTAGTTGCCCCTTCCTCGGCCGGCAGTATGTCCCCACTTCCTAGCCGCCCCTGGACGGAGGGGGATTGTTGAGGGCTGAGGAGGGATTTGTGGGAGGTTGTAGTCTGCGGAGGAGGATTGGACAGGGGGCAGGAGAGGCCAGTGGGGCTGCGAACGCCTCCGGGGTTAGCAACGGTGGGATGTGAGAGAACAAGGGGGAGCCCAAGAGCAGAAGGTGAGGACACATTGAGGTTCAAGATTAGTGATGCCATACCTGGTTTGGCTCAGTGGATAGAGTGTAGTAGGCCTGAGGACCGAAGGGTCCTAGGTTCGGATGGGGTCGAGGGCACTTTGCCCGGGTTTTGGGCTGGAGCCCCAGTAAGGCGTGCAGGAGGCAGCCAATCAATGATTCTCTCATCATGGTTGTTTCTATCTCTCCTTCTCCCTATCTGAAATCAATCAAATTGTGTCATATCGATATTTCTCTTTCTCGATAACACTCTAAAAATCAATGGAAAAATTTTAAAGAAAATGCCATTCCTTTTTTTAAAAAAATATATTTTTTATTGATTTCAGTGCAAGGAAGAGAAACATCAGTGATGAGAGAGAACCATTGATTGGCTGCCTCCTGCACGTGGGGATCGAGTCCGCTACCTGGGCATGTGCCTTTGACCGAAATGGAACCCGAGACCCTTCAGCCCGCAGGCGGATGCTCTATCTACTGAGCCAAACCAGCTAGGGCAAGACAAATACCATTTAAAAAGAAAAAAAATCAGTGTTGAAGGCCATGTAAAGAGAATGGGGAAAGGGTCTGGAATGGCCCTGGCTTGGGGAAAAGAACGGCTGTGGCAGGTCATGAGAGACTTGGGTTGAAAATGAAGGGAATAGAGGCCTCCTCCTAGCAATGCTTCTGATTCCATCTTTACCCGCTAGACTTCTGCACTGACCCACGGGCTGGAGCGAATTCCTGATCAGCTTGGCTACCTGGTGCTGAGTGAAGGTGCAGTGCTGGCGGTGCGTTCTGGGCAAAGGGGCGGAGGGGGGGAGGGGGGGAAGTCCCCCCAAGTTCCACATGGCCCAGTGATCCCTTCTAACATTGCCCACTTGAGCTTAATTTCCCGCTCTTCTTGTCTTAATTGGTATAGTACATATTTAATAATTAAATCTCTGGAATCTCAGTATGGTAATTATTCTGAGGTAAAAGGGTTTGCTAACTTTACCAAAGTCAGACAACTAGTAACACATTTGTTGATAACTTGTATTACCCATTATTTTTGGTTATGTCTTTATTTGCTATTTATTGAAGAGGCTTTTTATTTTGTTTCTTAGTACAATGTAGTGTTAGCTCTCTAGAAGTTTTCAATCTATTATAGCTAGAGAGGCAGGCTTATGGTCAAAAGTTTAAAGCAATGCCAGGGGTCAGGACTACTAAAAGAGTTCAGAAAATGAAGGATTCAACCCTTAAGGTTATTAACTTGTGCTGTGAAAAGGATTCTTGAAGGACAAAAAATTCAGCTGGGCTTAAAGGAAGAATGGTTGTGAACAGGCAGAAAAGGAGAGGGCCGAGATGGATACATTTGCAGGGGTGATGCCTCTTTTGATGGTGCGTTTCTGTTGAAGTTTGTAAGAAAAGATCTGATTGTGGAGGCCTTGCAAGACTGGGGCAATAGGAGCTTTGAAGAGTTTTTTAACAGAAATATGAGCTGATAAAAGTTGAGCAAGATTGTCCTATTACCGTGTTTCCCCGAAAATAAGACATCTCCGAAAATAAGACCTAGCGCATGGAAAGATAAGACATCCCCTGAAAATAAGACCTAGCACAACTTTGGGAGAAAAAATTAATATAAGACACTGTCTTATTTTCGGGGAAACAGGGTAGGTGAGAAGGTGGGCTGGAAGGGGAGGAATCCAGAAGCAGGTAGGCTGTTGCAGAAGGAAATCTATGAGTCTGGATTGGTGGCACTGAGGAGGAGCAAGGAGAGAAGAGAATGTAAAGGAAGAATCAATGACTAGAGAGAGAGAGGTAATAGAGGAGATAATTCTCCATTCAGTACGACTTTAACTCGAGCCTACTACAATGATGGTTCCTTTAACAGGAAATTACTAAAGGAAGTTTATCGGGGAATAGGAGTGGGAAGGGGAATTTTGATGGCTTAACTTTAGACATCAAGTTTGACATAGAATAACAGCAGTTAATACATATTGCTACGAGCTGTTTTAACCCTCAAGAGCCCATATGATAGCTGCTGTTGTCTCTAAATTCAAAGATAAGGAAACTGAGGTGCAAAGGGCACTGAACTTAACCTAATGGGAGGCTCATCCTGAGGAGGGAGGGAGAAGTGTGACAGTCACTTGAAAAGAGGAACCCCAGGCCACTGTGATGATTACCCATGTAATTGGAGTGTGTATGGGGGGGAAAGGGGAGCGCGCATTAAGGACAAAAGGGATATTTCTTTCAGATTCTGCAGACAGGAGGGCAACAAGTGGGGAGCCAGGAAAAGATAGAGCCTTGAAAGTCAGTGATGTTTAAGAATGTGGTTCTATCAAATAAATGGCGACAGGGAGAGAAATCAAGTCTCAAGGGATTCGAAAAGAATAATCAGTAAAGAAATGGATGGGAGTCACTGCTCAGGGGGGGACAGGGGGCAGTATAAGTGTGAGATCCAGTATGGCATCTAGAAGGGCAACAATATCATAGGAAAGTTTTAGGTTTGTTTTCCAAAACGGGTGATCTCGAGGGTGCTAGGAAGTGGAGAGGAAGAGGGTACCAATGCCAGAGCCAAAGTGGTTCCTGAAATTCTTTCCCAGTTCTGTTCCCTAATTTCTGCCGTCCTCCCCCCCGTCTGCATGCAGTCATCTGGGGATCTGGAGAATGATGAGCAGGCAGCCAGCGCCATCTCTGAGCTGGTCAGCACAGCCTGTGGTTTCCGGCTACACCACGGCATGAACACACCCTTCAAGCGCCTGTCGGGTGAGCCCCACCCCCTGCCCTTACTGGCGGGGATAGGAAGTAGGGTGCTCCCAGAGGTGGGGTGCCAACCAGGGAAAGATCACTGGCCTCCTATCAAACTGGGGTCCCTGGCTCTGGCCACTTTCTTCTCCGGGATTCACCCCTGTATCACAAGTATGAGGAAGTAAAAGTATTGAATGCAGACTTCCCATCTTCAGATCTCTGAGCCTCAAACCACCTAATTTCATTGGCTCTTGATCCCAGCCAGTCGTGTATGACCCCACGGAGTTCATTACACCCCACTAACTCTGTGTTCCCTTCCCTCTCCCGGGCTTTGGGAAGATGTGTCTCCCTCCAGTGGTCTTTGGAGAACACACGCTGCTGGTGACTGTGTCAGGACAGAGGGTGTTTGTGGTGAAGAGGCAGAACCGAGGCCGGGAGCCCATTGACGTCTGAGCCTGCCGAGGGTGAGGAAAGAGGTGGACTGGATCCGTGAACCTGTGATGAGGAAGATGCACCCTCCTTTCTCGGCTTGCTGCCAGCCCGGAGGCCTTCTGCCCACCCTCTCCTCCACACCCCATTACCTGAAAGGGCAGAGGCTCGGCGACTCTGTGCAGTGTTAGAGGGAGGACAGGGGGCCTCCCTCTCCTAATAAACATGAGTCTGTGTTCCCAGGCCTGGGGAAGTGTGTATGGGGGAAGGGAGCTGATAGGAACTACCTGGTAGGCATGCTGGAAGGAATCATTTGGAGCTCTGGTCTCTGCTCCTTCCACCAACACACAAACAACAGTCATTCTTCTCCCTCCTGAACAGCCATTTAATAGTCTTATTTCAGTTGGAAGCAGTAGTTGGAGAATAAGTTACAGGGACAGACAAAAAAACAAAAACAAAACCCACACAACTTAAAGTGCTTCAGGCCGCAAACGTAAACATGAGGGGCAGGAAGAGGCCGCCACCTATGGCCCCTCACCTCTGAGACAGGAGGTCATTGTCTGGGTCCCTGTACCATCACCACCCTCTAATCTCAGCCCTGGGGGGGGGGGGGGGGGGAGAAAGAGACACGGACACACAGATTTAAAGACAACTTAATGGGAGTGAGAAGCCACTGTAAACTTAGAGCCCGGGAGCAGGGCGGGGGGACCGGGAGCTCTTGGAACCCTTGCCCTGACCAAGGGGTGGGACCAGCCCTCCCAGGCAGTCAGGGGAATACTGTTGGTTTAGGGCTGCAGCCACACCCGCCCGTTTCACAGCTTTCCCCTCCTCAGCAGACACAGACAGGCCACGGCCTCCTCACCCACCACGGGAGGCACCCCAGGGAGGCACAGCCTGGAACGAGGACCCCTCCAGAGGCATCCAGTTCCTGGGAGTATAAGGGAGCCGGCAAGGCGCTACTTTACAGGCTCCACCACCAGCACTTTGCACTCGCGCTTGGCAATCTTGTCCAGAGAGAGCACAGCCTTTTCCGGGGGCAGGTAGAGGGGGCGGCCAACTGGGGAGGCCACAGGGGGTGTGATGGCCCTGCGCTCCATCACGCTGCCGGACCTGGAGGAAGGCAGAAGATGTGGGCTCTCGTTAGACTCGGGACCGCTTCCGGCTCCCTCTCCAATCCCGGCTCCCCGCGGAGCCCAGTGGCTCCCCTCCCCGGGCTCCATACCTCATGAGGTGGCTGCGGGAAGGCTGCTGGTGGGAGAAGGACTGAGAGCGGCCCAGGCTAGCCTGGTGCCTCTCCACCAGGTCCCGGACAGCCGGGCTGCTGGGACTGCTCTTCCGAGAGAGGGGCCGGGCCTCGGGCGGAGGGTGGGACACACTAGCAGTGAACTGTAGCTTCAGTTTCATGTGCTGGCTCAGCTGGGGTGGAAAGACACAGATCAGCATTCCCACTTGGCTTCCAGGCCCCAGACCTCCTTTCAAATCACCTTTTCCCCTTAACGGACCAATACTGGATCGAAATTCCGCCTCCCCTCAGCCTGGCTTTGGTGCCATCCATTGTATTTCCTCTCCAGCAGCCAGCAGCCCTGATGCCTCCTATCCCAATGTTCTGCACCACCCACCACCCCGCCCACCCCTCTCAGCACCTCCCAGCCCACCTCAAAGAGCCCCGCCCTTAGAGCCTGGAAGGCCACACTGAAGGTGAGGGCACTGCCCTTCCGGGAAAAGCCGAGGTTGTTGAGGGGCGTGTGGCAGACAATGGAGTCCAGGGCAGCCTGCATGGCCCGACGGTCCTCCTCACACAGCTGCTTTCCTGCGGGGCAGAAACAGCGACCAGTAAACATCTGTACAGAGTTCCTCGCAAGGGGCTTCCATGAGCACAGTCTTGATTAATTTCCAAAGTCACCCTGTGGAGTAAACTGAGTATATCTTTCACCAAATGTTATAAATAACAGCTGATATTTATTGTGTGCTGAGGTCCACTCTAACCACTTCATATACATTAAATCTTTAAGTCACCATCATATCCTCGTGGGGGGAGCAGTATTATTTTCTCCTTTTTAGGGATGAGGGAGCTGAGGTTCAGAGAGGGTAAGTAACCACTTAGGGTCACACAGCTTATAAATGATGGAGGCAGAAATCAAACATACCAGGGAGCCAGCATCAGTGTCAGTGCTCTTAAGTCATCCTGCCCCACTTCTCTCTAAATTTCTTATTTGTGACACAAGCCAGTGCCACATGTCACCCACCTCCGTGACTTCTTCCTTTCCCCTCCCCACCTTTGGGACAAAGGCCCAGCCTGGCAGCACCCTACCAGCCTGTGCGTTCTCCGGGGTCCACACGAGCCTCACAGCAAGGAAGTCCTGGAGATTGTTGAGCAGCGTGTAAGTGACAGTGAAACGCTCGTAGGTCCGAACTGGGGACTCACAGGAAGCAGTCATCACAAAGCATGGGCGGTCCAGGCGAATGCTGGGCAGGCTAGAAGCAGCGAGAGGAAAGCAGGATGTACGTGTTTTGAAACAAAGATGAACAGGGTGGTCCCGCCAGGGGTCCCACACACTCACCGGTAGTGGGTGTAGATGCTCTGGGTGAAGGGCAGCTTTGGGGTGGACCACTGAACCACGGCAATCAAGGGGACTTCCAGGCCCTGTGGGAGAAGCAGAGGGGACCATCATGCGAAAGAGATCCCCTCTCATCTTCAGGTAACACCCTAGCATTTTCTTTTTTTGTTAATCCTCACCTGAGGATATTTTTCTATAGGTTTTTAGAGAGTGGAAGGGAGGGGGAAAGAGAGAGAGAGAAACATCGATGTGGGTTGCCTCCCACACGAGCCCTGACCAGGGCCAGAGATTGAGCCTGCACACAAGGTTATGTGCCCTTGCCCAGAATCAAACTCAGGACCCTTCACTACACAAGCCTATGCTCTATCCACCCAGCTAAACCAACTAGGGCCTACTGCTTTTTCTTAACCTTTTTTTCTTGAAATCACCAGCCCCTTATACTCACCTCCTTGGCCCCTGGAGGTGGCTGCTCACCCACCCTCAGCTGAAACAGGAAGTTGTGTTCCTCTAGGGCACTGAGTGGGCAGGGGAAGCAGCCAGAGGTACCAGGAAGCCGACAGAAGGAGCCCATGGAGACCTCCCCAGATTGGTGACTAGTTCAGAAGAAAGGGAACAGAGCTGCATCTTTCCAGGCCAGAGCTCTCAGCCATGAGCCCAGCCCCAAGACTTTGCAGCCCTGCCCCTTCCCAGGACCTCACCAGACATTGTCCACCAGCAGCACAGAGCCATCGGGCATGACAGGTAGATAACTGGCATTGAAGTTTGGGAGAATACGTATATCCCAGATGGAAATTTCCTCTTGGGAAGAGCTGTTCAGCACTGTCGAAGGCAACCAGCTCAGTGATTATCTGGACCCCTCAGATCCCACCTTAATCCCCCAAAATGGACCTATCCCCCCAAGTCTGCACAGGGTAACTGCCACCTAATCATCGCCCTTGCTGCTACCCAAGACCTTAGCCACCAATCTGCTCACCCTTGAGAACAGTCAAGTGTTTTCCAGCCACAGTGAACTGGCGGCATTTCAGAACTGGAGGGGGCAGCAGAGTCAGCAGGGTACTCACTGTGAGAGAGGGCAGGAGCAAGAACAAGAATTGATGGGCTGGGCCTGGGCACAGAGCTCACGTCCAACCCACAGTCACTCCAGCATTTTCTCCCTGCATTCTCCCCACCTTGGGCCTTGAAAGCACTCTGCTCTCCCCGGAAGGTCTCCCCAGGAAATCGGGTCTGCAGCAAGCGCAGGTAGCCTTGATCTCTGACCTCTGGTGCCTCAACCTCCCGCTTCCACACAGTTACTACAATCTGCGCAAAAGGAACATGGGGCCACAGTCAAGAGGAGAGGTAGCCAGCCAGCCTTAGAGAAAACAAATGAATTAGGACAACAGCTTCACCCCTTGCCATTCTTACCTTGGCCTTAGGTGTCCCTGGGGGCAGTCTATCCAGTGAAACAGTGAGTGGGAAGATGACCTCATCTGTGGACACAATTGGCTCTTCCACAGGCAGCTAGGGGTGTGCAAGGGGTGGAGGTTAGGAGAGAGGTAGTTCCCTTTAAGAGGTGCCCACTTCTGTCCTCATCCATCATCCGCTCCCAGCTTCCCTCCCATGTCCTTCTCCTGTCCGGTCTTTGGGGCTCAGCAGATCACCCCAGTTCCTCACCGTGGTCACTCCCCCTGAGGTAGCCGGGCCCGGGCCGTGGGTGAGAAGGGGGCTGCAGCCTCGAAACAAACCCCCACCGCCCGGATCCCCGCCCCCGGGGGGTTCGGGATCCTGGTCGCCGGGGCCGCCCCCGGCGCTGACCGAGGCCAGGGCTGCCAGGGCGGTGGCCAGTTCTGCCCAGGCCCCTCGGGAGCCCAAGCCCGGGCCCCCGCCGGCGCCGGAGCCCGCGCCCCCGCGGCAGCGCAGCACCAGCAGGAAGCGGACGGTCTCCCCCAGGTAGAGATGGTTGCGCCGGGGCAGCGCCCGGTAGCGGCCCGGGTCCCCCGCCAGCTCCGCGCGCGGCGGCAGCGGCACGGCCGGGAAGTACATCGAGTAGTCGCACTGGGACTCCATGGCTCCCGGCGGGAGGCCCCACGCCGGACGGGGGCTGCGCGCGGCCCGCCGGCCCAGAGACCTCCCCGGGACCGGGAACCGGGACCACCGACCCGGAACCGAGACCCCGCGGGGCCGGAACCCGGTGCCCGGAGAATGACTGGAGAAAAGCCGGAAGCGGAAGGGAGGGGGCGTGGCCCGAGGCCCCGGAATCTGTGAGTGACGGGGCCTGGAGGAGAGGGGCGGGGTCCGGCTGCAGTTGGATTGCCGCAAGAAGGATTTAGGGGAGACTCTAGACAGGCTTTTCGGAGAAGTAATATTAAAAAGAACCCGCCGAGGCCGGTTTGGCTCACTGGATAGAGCGTTGACCTGCGGACTGAAGGGTCCCAGGTTCGATTCCGGTCAAGGGCACGTACCTTGGTTGCGGGCACATCACCAGTGGGGTGTGTGCAGGAGGCAGCTGATTGATGTTTCTCTCTCATCGATGTTTCGAGTTTTCTATCTCTCTCCCTTCCTCTCTGTAAAAAATCAATAAAATATATATATATTTTTTAAAAAAGAACCCTCTCTTGGTAAGGTATGTACACATATAATACCTTAATAAAAAAAAAAAGAGAGAGAAAAAAAAATAAAATTTAATTTAAAAAAGAAAAAATAATAAAAAATCAAAAGAACCCTCTCCACTCCATACATTTATCACCAAGATGCAGCATCCCCTTCCCTTTCTGCTCTACATAAAGCAAGTCCAAAAGTTTCAAACTATTTATTCATTCAACAAACATTTTCATAGTGAAATGAGCGTAGCCCAGGAACATTTCATAGACATGGACGGATATTTCCAGTCCACCGTGTCCCAGACTTCCTCTGGCTTAAATCGTGGTTTGCTCCTCCAGGGGGCCTTTGAGAGTGCTACATGGACCTGCCAGGGAGCTGGAAAGGGAAGGGGCACAGGGGGGTGGAGGAGTGCTGCTGGGAGTTGAACAACCAGAGGCTTTGGCCCAGCCTGGAGGACTTGGGGTCCACATCCATGCAACGTTCCAGTCATCCTGTAGGGAGCAGACTTGCTTTCCCAGAGAAGCAGAAATGTCAGCTGGCTGTCCCACACCGGTCACATGTGTCCTGTGACTTAGCTGGTCTTTAACCTAATACTCAGTGGTCTAATGCCTATGGGGCGAGTAGCTTTGAAGTCTTGAAGGGCAGAGAGACTTTTGGAGGGAACTGCTTGGCATCCAGCTTGTCCTTGTACTGTAGCTCCGGGGTAGCCAGGCGCTCACACTCCTCCCGCTCTTGGAGGCTCAGTCCACTCCGAAGTGCATAGCCCAAAACCTTACCTGATCCAAACTGGAAGGGGCGGAACCGGCGGTCAGTGATGTATTTGGGGTCTAAAGCCTCACCGCCCAGCAGACAGTGTTTAGCCAGGGCCTCTCGGCGAGCCCTGAGCTCCGCCACCGCACTCTCCAGGCGACCTTGGCCATATTGCTTTATGCGAGCCCATAGACTGCGGTTGAAGTGAACGTAAAGAGCCCAGTCCAGGTTGTTCCAGACTCGAGCCCGTGCAGTTAGTTGCCTGTCCTCAGTGGTCAGTCCACCATCGCTGACTGCATTTCTGCCCCGTTCACTTCCAGCCTGGGCATTGTGCATGAAGCCCACCACATCATCTAGGCCCCAGCACAGGGCATCTGCCAGCAGAACCAATGACTCGTCAAAGTACTCGGCCACCAAGACCAAGTCAAAGACGGAGTCCAGCCAGGCCAGACTCCACTGGATGAAGGATGAAGACCCCAAGTCTAAAGCAGCGGGGCTGGGCGTCTGGCTGTGACCATCAGCAGTGGGGGGAGCAGGAGGGAAGAGAGCATTGGGATCCAGGGTGTGGGCTCGAGAGCCAGTGCCAGAAGGCAGGATGTGCAGCGCTGGGGGGTTGGGGTCACCAGGGAGATGAGGATATCCTCTCTTGGTCCTCATCTCGGGGGGGAATGGGAGGCCAAAGTCAAACCATAGCAAGTTGCGAGCATAGTGGTCTCCACGGGCCCCAGGTCGGTAGAAGGCTCGAGGGTTAGCGAGAAAGGCAGCCAAGGAAGGTGCCTTGCGGAAGGCTGAGGAGGTGGATTTATAGTAGGAGAAGGCAGAGCGGGCCAGAGCCGCTGGGTCTCGGACAATGGAGAAGAAGAAGCTGTCAGAAGGCATGACCTGAAGTACCTGCAGAGGAGAGAAAACAGTCCCGGGGAGAAGGAAGTGGGCCAGGGAGAAAAGAAGTGTAAGCCCGATGCCCGAAGATCCCCCAGCCTCCTGACAGCTCTAAGAGGAACCCCCAGCTTTTTTCACTAGCTGACAGATCTTGGGCAAGTTACTGGTGTCTCTGAGATGCAATTTGCTCATCTACAAAATGGGGATACTTGTATCTTCCTTCCGAGCTCATTGTGGAAGTTACATGGATTAAAGACTATGAAGGAGCCGAAACCGGTTTGGCTCAGTGGATAGAGAGTTGGTCTGTGGACTGAAAAGTCCTGGGTTCGATTCCGGTCAAGGACATGTACATTGGTTGCGGGCACATCCCCGGTAGCGGGGGAGGCAGCTGGTCGATGTTTCTCTCTCATCGACGTTTCTAGCTCTCTATCCCTCTCCCTTCCTCTCTGTGGAAAATCAATAAAATATATATTTTTTAAAAAGAATATGAAGGAACCTGGAATGTGGGAAGTTCCGGGAGAACATGTATTTTCTTTGGCATTACTGTCTGCCTTGGTCAGAAAAATCTCTAAGAAGCAAACTTTGTGTTCACTTCTCCAACAACAACAACAAAAAAAACTATTAAGAGTCTACCCTGGGACTCTTGGTCCCTGCTCCAAGAAAGAAACTGGCCTGAGGCCTCTTCAGTGGGGGTGGGAGTCACTGGCAGCAAAGAGGGCAGCGAGGGGCAGCCATAATGCTGCCTCAGGTACAGGTGTCAGGTGGGCAGACAAGCCCAGGTTGGTTGAAGGACAGGGCACTTCCTGGGCTCTTGGGCATCTTGGAGAGCAAGAGGCACTTCTGGACTGGACAATGGGGAGCCATGGTCACCTTGTAGGGAGCTGCCCTGAGGCCCGGCACATTGGATTCCACTTCTCGGCAAAAAGGAAGGTGGGAATCAGGTTGAGCCAGGCAGGTGCCCATTAGAAACCAGCTCCCGGGCTCCCTGAAGGGTTTCTGCCTCTGAATGTGACTGTCATTGAACCTGACTCTCTGACATGCTGTTCTCCAATCTGCTCTGCTAGTATGGGCATGTGTGCAGGGCAGAGCCAGGAAACTGTGTGTCTCTTTGAAGGAAGAAGAGAACAGTGCAAAGAATAATCTGTGGCATCAGGTGGATCTAGAATAAAATCCCAATTCAGGCATTTACCAGTTATGTAACTTTGGGCAGTTTATTGAACTTCCACCATCTATGAATTTGGGTTAACACTTACCTTGAAGGATGTGGAAATACATGGAAGGCGATCGGTATTGAGATGAATGAGAGTGACAATGAAGGTCCTCATCCTAACCTTTGGAGAAACCTGCCTCCAAGGCCATTGTCATTGCCTCACTTCCAGTATTGGACCCTCCTTGCCCATTAGATCACACTCATGTGCCTCAGCTGCTTTCTCCAACTCCAACTTAATCAGCAGTGGGTCTGCAGCCCCCACTGAAGTTCTACCACCTATACACACACAAACACACACACAGAAACACACACACACACACACACACACACACAGAGAAACACACACATGCACACCACCGTGCCTTTCCTGATATTCTGCTCCCTCTAAGAATGCCTAGTGTTTTCCTTCCTACAAAATCATCTCCACCCTTTAAAACCTGCCTCTCAGAAATCCCCACCTCTTTCTGATGCATATTCTTCTCACAGTTCCAAATACAAACATGTACATGCACATATGCCAGGGAAGGCACTCCGACTTTGGAGCAGATGGGCCTGGGTTCAAATATGACCAAGAGACCAGTCACTAAGCCTCTCGGAGTCTCGACTCCTCTCCTGTATAATGGAGGCACTTGTAATGTCTTCCTGGTCAGGTGATGGTAAGATTAATACCCAGAATCCAGGAAGTATTCAATAACAGTTAGTCCCTCTCCTTATGTTTTCATTTGCACATTGACTTTCTTCCTCTAAGAATTCTCAGCTTTCTGTGTGTTCGGATGAATACGTGAGTCCATGTATCTATCTCCCCCTTTAGAAGTGAGGGCTGAGGGGGCCAGGGCTGGGCTATGGCTTGACATATACCCGATTCTCAAAATCTGGCAGACATGGTGAGGGGAGTGAGAGGAAGACAGGTCAGAGGGCAGTGGCTAAGCAGAGGTCCTGGTGGTATCGATGGAAGGGGCTAAGAAGGGAAAGGGGCACCTGGAGGGGGAGTTAGGGAGTGAGATTCAGACTTGGCAGAGTGCTGACACCAGCTAGATAAATTGGTCAGGGAAGGAGACTGGAGCATGCACCAGATGGGAGGGGGCAGGACTTCAGCTCTCAGAAACTCCTGGGGAGGGGACAGCTTAGGAGAGAACAGGAAATTTCACCTTTGTGGCCCCCCGTCCACCTTCTGGGTGAGGTGACTCCTCGGGAGCCCCTATGCCTAGGGCCTCCTCCACTGACGGTCCTGGCCACAGGCCTGATCCCATCTCTCTCCAGTCCCACCCACGCCCTCCACACCTCTCACCTCTTTCAGGTTGAACCTCATGTGATGACAGAGGATGTGGAAGGGGGGCTGGGTGCCTTCACCCTGAGGGTGGTAGCCTTTGACCCACGAGGCCTGGAAAAGCCTCGGGTAGCCAAACTGGTAGCGGGCAGGGAGGGCGAAGCGCAGCCCCCGTTGGTCCCCGTAGCGATGAAGCAGGCTTAGCACAGAGCTGCTCCCGGATTTATGCGTCTTCAGGAACACCAGTCGCTGCCGGGGAGGACAGGATGGAACAGCTGGTCCTGGGGAGGGGGCCCAGGGCTGTCGGAGCTGCAGCCCAGGGAACCTGGAGAGAGATGGGAGGGAAAGTATCCTGTCCCTCACCAGCAGGTGGACGGGCGTCTTGCGGAGCAAGGACAGCGGGTGTGGAGCCTCCAAGTTCCCAGGAGTCACAGCCCCAGGTAGGAGTGGGAGGAGCAAGTAGGGGGCATCTATCAGGCATTGGGACAAGATAAAACTCACCTCCTTTGGAAGGGCCCGCCCCAGAGCTGGAGGGCAAATCCAATGGTCATGAAGACTCCCAAAGCCACCCCCAGGCTCCGAGGCCCCCAGAGGCGCATGGTCCTGGCAGGAGACAGAGGGCCCATGTGGCACCGGGAAGGGTGACAGGGCCAGGGCCAGGCAAAGAGGCAGAGGCAGCTGTGCAGCCACAGAAGGTGCTGGTTCAAGATTGGGGGTCATTCCCCAGGCCCGTTTGCAGCCCTGGTTGAGTCTGCCCCCTGAGTTAGCAGATTTTTGCCTCTGTCAGCGTCTAGAAGGGAAATGAGGGGAAGGAGGGAGTCTAAGGAGAGGGTAGAGCCTTCTCTCCTGCTGTTCCAGCTAGGACTAATTCAGAGGAGGGTGTTGGTGAGGGTGTGTGCTCTCTACACCCAGATCCAGGTGGCCCCACAACTACTTCTCTGCCATCTGCCTCCAGCTTCTCCAACCGCCCAGAGTTTCCCCCTGAGCCTCCGGGATTTGGAAGGGAAGGAGGGAAAGCCAGAGACCCTGCAAGAAAGATCAGACCCATCTGCTCAGGACAGTGAGGCGGACATCGCCGGGCCCTGGCTCCCCCCTGAGCTTCTGTCGGGATGAAGAGCCCCATTTGGAGGCTGAGGGGGAAAGCCATAGGGAAGGAATGTGGGTCAGGCAGATAAACCCGGAGAGTTGAGACCACAGGAGTGACTCTGTAATGAGTAAGAGCCGGGCATCTGGTGTAAATTCAAGCATCTCTTTTCCCTTTTGGCACAGGGCCCACCCCAGTGTGGGAGGGGCTGGGGAAGATGCAAGCTTATTTACAAAACCCAGATCCCCAGACATACCCTCACAACCCACCCACCCCAACCCCATTCCCTTTTCAACCCCATCAGTGCCCCCGGAGGAGACTCAGTGGGTGGGGCAGGAGAGAGAGATAGATACTGATAGAGGAGTGTTCAGTTTGGAATTCCTTCGCAAGCCCCAGTTTCCTAATCAGCTGGGAGTCCGACCCACCCCTTCAGATTACAACCCCACAACCAGGGGCACAGCCCTTCCAACAAGCCCAGACAGCCCCTCCGGGACAGCCAGGCGCAACTCCAGACACAGAAACCCGTCTTTGCTACTTAAAGACCTGCCCTCTCTGGCATTCCTCCCCTAACACAGCCCCCAGGCTCTAGCCTTGCATTGTTTCTGTGTCCAGATTTCTTCTATTCCTTCCACCCATCTCTGTCTCCTCCTATTATCCTCAATTCCAGCCCTCTGTCCCCTCCAGCTTTGGTGATAACCACCCCCTCCCCGCAAGACTCCTCCCATAAACTCTAGAGTCCTTCCGCTGGCTGCAGCCTTGATGTCACTTGCCCACTCACCAAGCCTCCTGAGGGGCAGCAGGGTGATCAGGATCTGGCCTTCCCCAGCCACCGCCCGGGTTCCTCACTCCGCTAAACTTTCCCCATCAACTTTCTCAGCGCCCAGGCTCCTCCCCTCTCCCTCCCTTTGTCTGGCCAGTCCCGGCAGCTGCTTCAGCTTTGATCGAGTCTCTGGGTCTCTCCCTCCCTGCATCTTTTTTTTCTTTTTCTTTTTTGGGGTCAGGGCACATAGCTGCCCTTGGAAGACACAATTTCTACCCTCCTTTCACACTTAAGAGTCATTTATACCTTTTCTTTCTCTGCTTTCTGCAGAACAAAAGACTCATTCAGGGGACAGAAAGGAGAAAGTAACAGACAAGAGTTGAAAGCAGACATTGGCAAGAACTTGTGACAAGGCAGCCAGAGGCTGACGCAGAGAACAGGAGCCCGGTTCTGGAGGCAGGGGCAGCAGTGTGGAAATGTTAATGATGCTTCGTGTTCAAAAATTTTGCCCGTAGCAAGATGCTTCCTCACACAGTTCCTGTTTGGTCCTTACGTTTCTCCCCATCTTACAAATGAAGGTCCTCCGATCCAGAGGGTAAACAACTTGCCCAAGTTCAGTATCAGGGGACAGGATCCAAGAGAGGCCAGAAGCAAGCGGAAAACGAGCCATGTGAGGCTCTGAGCCTCTGCAAGGAGCCAGGCTCAGTGAGGGCTGCTGAAGTTACAGAAAAGTCACACTCAAGGTCCAATAAATTAGTTGTTTATTTGTAAAATGCAAAACTTGTGAAACATGTGGATGGTAGAGGTCATGAATTTTGTTTTTTTATTTTTTGCGTTTTAGTTTAAGAAATCGATACTGAAAAACAAACAAACATAGAATCAAGGACCAGTGATCCTGATATCCTATTCACACACCCAAGTTCCCTGCCCTGCACCCTACCAGCACCCAGCTTTTTCCATTTCAGAGACCAGGTGAACCCACCATTCCCCACTTCCAACTTCCTTCAAACCCTCCCCCTCCCCCCAACTGTCACCCTAAAAATCTTCCCTTTCTCCTCTTTGGGGCTGACCACCAGAGCTCAGACTTAGAGGCTCCGTTGGAGAGACCACAAGTCCTCTCTAAATAAATACCCCCAACCCCCCACCCCGATACCAAATGAAAAAATAAATATGTGAACACCCACCCAATCCTAACGGGAATCTCCTGGATTTGGGGCCCTAGCCATTCACCCAAAAAGTCCCTAGTCAACCCTCTCTGCAGCCCCCTTCAACTCCTCCCCAGATTCAGCTGAGAGGGGAGGAGGGAAAGGGCCATGAACCCCTCTGATGCCAGGGCACCCGTTCCCTGTTATCGAGGTCCAAGCAGGGCCAGGGCTGAGAGGAGGAGAATGAGAATGGGTTGAGTGTGAAAACCAAGTGATGCCCTCCCAGTCCTGCTCCTGCCCTGGTTCTGGCGGATGATGAAACCTCCTTTGCGGCCAGGAGGACGAGGAGGCCGGGCTGGGGGGGCCACAGCCGCTGCCCCGGCCATCCAGTCATCTGCATAGTGTCCTTCTCCAGAGCCACTGGCATCCTCCTCTGCCGGGAGGGAGTGGGTCAGAGACAGACAGGGGCGGGTAAAAGGGGCAGTGGGAAATAGAGAGGTCAGGTAGACATGAGAAAGAGGACAGGCAATGGGAGACAGAAAAAAAGACAATGAGACAGAAAAGAGAGACAGGCAGATGGGAAGAAAGAAAATTAATGTTCTTGCCTTGCTTTTCTGGCAAACTCTGCTTTGGGAAGCCAGCCCAATGGCACCCCAACCCTGCTGGAGAGGAGTGTGGGGAGGAGGACCCTCCCCCAATCTCCCATAGTCCTTTGCCCACTGTTCTGTAAGAATGTTTTTGGAGACTCTTGAACTGGAATGTGAACGCACAGATAGAGACCTTCTCTCATACTGGTCTTCTATCCCTAACCTTTGAGATAAGGGTTCAATTCATGATTGCAAAATGAATGCGTGAATGATAACAAGATGGGAAGAGAGGGACTCAGAAAGCAGTGGGCGGGTCCAAGGTCCAATCCCAAGCAACCAGAGGAGGGAGATGACCAGGGCCCTCCTCCCACCTCCTCATCCCCGGGGTGTCAGGTCTCACCCCAGTCCTCCAGATCTAGGTCGCGTCCCTGGGCAGCTGCCCTCATCCTCATGGTAGCGGACCGGAGTTGCAGCCGCCGTATGCGAGTCCGGAGGTCGGGGTTTGAGGCTTCCACGTCCACCTCTGGATTGTTGAGCTGCTTGGCCAGGGGCCCTCCGACTACCGGCAACAGGTACCTGCGAGCAGAGCGGCCCTAAAGGCTCCCGCCCCGCCCCAGATTTGGGCCTCGCCTGCCCACCAAGCCGCCAACCTGCCACCCCCCCCCCTCTCACCGGCCCCGCCCGGTTCCGGTCCAGCAGGGCGCCGCTTCCTGCGTGATGTCCAATGCCATGCGGGAGTCCCCGCACACCGCCAGGGGCAGCCCGGCCCAGAAGCCCCGGACTCGGTCCAGCCGCTCGCGGAGCTCCCACACCTGGGAGTGCAGGGAGGGCAGGTGGAGCTGCAGCGCGTGCCCATCCTCCCACCCAGCACCCACACGCGTGCCACCCACCCACCCAACCCACCATCCGGGGCAGGCTGTTGCCGGCAGCTGTGGTGGGCTGCTCCTCCTCCGCTCCTGCGGCCGCGGTCCGGAACCGGCCCACTTCTTCTCTGGGTGCCAGGGCTCGGTGGGCACGGACCATGGCCTTGGGGGGGACGCCACATTCCTGAAACACCTGTGGCACAGGGGTGCCCCGCGGGATGAAACGGACACCGAATCTCCATTCCAACACCTACATCTCCCCATAGCCCTGTTTCCCCGAGTACCTACGGTGTCCCTGACACCCAACCCTGTCTCACAATCCCAGGCCCTGTTCTCTCCCGTACTGGAGCTGAGACCCACACCGCTCCTCCCGGCCCCCAGGCTGACACTCCCACGCTCCTGGAGGCTCCTGTACCTTGGTGGACACCCCTACACTGTTTTCCTGCAGGTACATCAAACCTTCCGAGATCTTCACCCCAATGGCCTGAGCTGCCAGCTCAAAGGAAAAGGGGCCCTGGATCTTCTCAGCCAGGAACAGGAGTCCGTCTGGAAGGAGGGGGAGAGAGCCAAGGGTGAAATGGGGGGACAGCATGGAGGCACTTGTTAAACTAGGAAGTTCCCACAAATCCTGACCTGGGCAGCAAAGTGTTAGATGGGGAGACTCAAGATCTCTACCATTCCTTCCCCCCTCCATGGTCCCCCTCAATGGGGTTTAAAACCCCCTCCCAGTCCATCCCACTCACCCTTACAGGGACACGCTTCTCAGGCTTTCCTGAGTCCTCACCCAGATAGGCCCCCCAGTCAGGGTCCAGGCCCCGGCCGCTGAGACAGCCATGGGCCACGTTGAGGCAGAAGCCCCGGCACGGCGGCAGCAGGGGGACCCCCCGGCAAAAGGGGCAGCCAGTCAGACGCATTACGGCCCGCCTGCAGCCTTCGGACAGGGGGACCTGGGGGCAGAGAGCTGGGCTATGTTATCCGCAAACACTGAGGCTGCCCTCAGCCAAGCTTAGAGCTGCACAGAGAGAAGTCAAACACCCACCCCGCCTTCCCAGGCCCCACAGGGAGAACTGATGCGAACGGCTAGGGTTGGTGACCCCATGTAGCAGCAGGTGAGACCCCCAAAAGACTGTGGAGGGAAGTTCCTGGGGGCCATCTTGTCAATACTGCTTTTTGGGAAGGATGGACCCGTGGGGTCTGAGAAAAGGCTTAAGGACAAGAGCGGGGAAGGATGACACTGGGGATGGAAGAGGCAAGGCTAGAGGTCAGGGAGAGAATGGGATCTGGCCTTCAGTAGCAGGAAAGGAAGAGCCACTGCGGCATCTGGAGGAAACTAGGGGGACCAGCACTCTCATTTCAGGATGTTACGGAGATAAGCAGAACCCCAGAGGCTGACAGGAACATGAGGCATCAGAGGGCAGGAGAGAGTCAGAGTGAGAACAGATCATGAATCAGGGCACCAGGGAGACTTCCCTCTGGCCCATCTCCTTCCTGGTTCACCCTGGGGTCCCAGGGCCTCAGGGCTAACATGGGAAAGCTCCACGTCTCTCCTGCCAGCTGGCATCTGACTCTTCCTCAAGGGGCATCTCCTTTCCCCTCCCTGAGCCCCACCCATACTCAAGTACCCTCTAACCTTAAGTGCTTCGCTGACCACATCTCTTCCAGTCTCCAAGCCCTTGATAAAGGCCCGGGCAGCCACCATGGCCCGGGTTAGCTGGGGGAGAAGGAAGAAGGTGAGAAAAACCATAGGGTTGTCTTGTCATTCAAGAGTGGGGCCAAGAGACTATACCACCGGGATGAGCAGTGGGGGGTAGGTTTGTGGACTTAACTTGGGGTGGTTAGGATTATCAGGTGGTACAGGAAGGCAGGTACAAGAGGCTCAAAGGAATTCTAGCCTAGAAGGATCAAGGTGAGCTGGGCGTGGGAAGAGATGGAGGGATTGTTTTACAGGGTTTGGAGATAATGGGGCTGTGCATCAGGACAAACACTGCACTTACAGCCAGAAGACCTGGGTGTGAGACACAGCTCTCCCATTTACTGTCTGTGAGACCTTAACTTCTGGGAGGCTCAGTTTCCTCATCGGTAAAATAGGAGTCCTACCACCTACCTCCCAGAGTTCAAATGGCAAGTAAATGAGATACTATAAAATGGAAATCCTTTTTGGCTCAGTGGATAGAGCGTCGGTCTGTGGACTGGAAAGTCCCAGGTTCGATTCCGGTCAAGGGCATGTACCTTGGTTGTGGGCTCATCCCCGGTGGGGGGTGTGCAGGAGGCAGCTGGTCGATGTTTCTCTCTCGTCGATGTTTCTAGCTCTCTATCTCTCTCCTTTCTCCTCTGTGGAAAATCAATAAAATATATATTTTTAAAAATGGAAATCCTTCTCAAATACTAAGTGCCTGATTCACATTTGGTTGAACCAGAGAAAGGCAAGATATTAGAACGAGGAAAGAGTTGGCAGAAAGATGGCTGGGGCAGGTGAGTAGGTCCGAGATATGTGTGAAACTTCACACAGGATGAGAGTGGGAGGCATCCAATTACAGGAAATCAAGGAGCACTGGGTCAGGCAGGGGTCACTGGGGCTCTAGAGAGTGATCACAAGGTCAGAGATGGCTGACATGCAGGATGTGGGGATCACCAGGTCAGGGGTGACTGGAGCATGAAGGGGCAGTCACTCAGTTGGAGGTGAAGGCACAGTTTAGAGGTCACTAGGTCAGAGATGGCTGAAACTCAGGCCTTGAGACCCCTCACCTGCAGGCGGAGGCGGCGGGGCGAGTCCCCGAAAGGCTTCAGAGAGTCATCAGCGGAGGAGGCAAGGCGAGTGATGCAGAACAGGTATTCAGGGGAGAAGATGTACTGTGGGTGCAGCAGGGGGAACATTCTCTCCAGGACCTGCGTCCAGAAATCCACCAGGGCGTCATCTAACCCCTCACCAGACTTCTCATAGTAGTCCCGCAGCCGCGAGAACAGGCCGCTGAATAAGGGGGTATGCTGGGAATAGAGGCGACCATAGGAGCGGGTGAAGAGCACGGCCAGGGAGTGCTCGGCTGAGGAGAGCACCTCCCGAAAAACCTCTGTGGCAAGTGCAAAGAAAATGGCGTGAGGCGGGATGAGACCAGAGAAGGATGAACAAGTGAAAGAGCAAAGGCAAGAAAAAAGTGGGGAGAAAAAAAGACAAGTGAGTTAGAAACTGAGCAACTCTCAGACTTGGGCAGATTGAGAATGGGGTGGGGCAGGACCCTGGAGAGAGCCTGGGGTGGGGATGGGGGAGCTAAGACAGGGCAGGGGTGCCTTAGGGATAGAGTAGGAAGTGAGGACAGGATATACTTGCTGGGATCATGAGCACAGCGAGGAGGTGTGTGGCCAGGTTTGGGGACCCCCAAGTCCTCACCATCAAATGCTCTATGCCGGGAAGCCAGTGTGTGAACCAGGAAGGAGCCATTCTCCTCCACCAGGCTTCGGAAAGTAGCCTCGGTGTCCCAGGTCAGCCTCTCCTCTATTTCACTGGAACAGCAAGTATATTCTTGGGGACAGATCCGGAGGTGCTCACCTAGATAGAGGAGACACAAGGAATGGTGGGAAATAAGGAATGGTGGGAAGTGATGTGGTAAAATTCCTTTCTTTTCCTGCCGGTCTCTGGGGACCATCCCTTCTCTTTCACCTGTCTGGTTTCTTTTCTATTGTCTGTACACACATTCCTACTTGACCCTATACCCACCCTATTGTCCCCTCACCCATTCCCAGTCCTCTGCCATTGGGCATGGGATTAAATAGTAAGGGGTCAAATCAGTGACCAGAGGGCCTCAGGCCACCGTCCCCAACATGGCACACCCCAGGCCTCTAAGGACTTACAAGACTGCTTCTATAGGAAGAATGGGGATTGGAGGGATGGGATTACTTGGTAAACAAGAAAGTATTATAGAAGTGCTCTTAGAAATAGCGAGAACCAAGTGGGCTGTAAAGATAGCACCAGAGAGATGGGTGCTGCTTACTAGAAAGGGGTTTGGGGAGGGGGTGGAGTACAATAGCCACTATGCGAACAGGAGGGTTACTGTGCTCCTGGTAAGGAAGTTCAGGAGCAGAGGCGTTACTACTATGGGATAAAAACATTACAACGGTCACTCTGAAAGGGAAGAGTTCCTGTAAGACGGGGGAGGACCCACCCCGACCCTTCCCTCGCCCCCAATTCTCTAGTCTCCCTCTTTCTCCTCACCTGAGATCAGGGCGGGAGGGAGTAGGCTTAAGCTATATCCCCGGGAACCCAGAATTTGCCGGGTCTCAGTGCAACTCCGGACGACCTTTGCCTCGCTCCCGGGTCCAGGACCAGGACCGGGACGCAGAGGCAGCAGCAGCAGCAGCAGAGTTCGCAGCGCGGACATAGCTGCTGCGACCCTGGAGCAGCAAAGTGGGTCCTGCGGAGGAGAGAAGAGCTGCCCGAACTTGGGAAGCCGGTTCTCTGCTGCAGGACCGTCCCACCGGCCAAAGAGCGCGACCTCGGAAAACTAAACCCCAAGGAGGGTAGCTGGGTCGGGCAGGATCAACTGAGACAATGGGAGAGGCGAGCCGGACAGCGGGAGGGGCCCGAGGCGGGGCCTTACCAATGATGGTAAGGAGCCGGCCTCGGAGGCGGGATCTAGGGAGAAATTTAGCCAATGTGGTTGGGGGTCCTGGGCGGAGGGGCGGGATGAGGCTGAACTACAAAGGTTGATGGGGGCGTGGCCTTCATAGGGGGCGTGGCTACCCGGTTCGAAAGGCGGGGCCAGGGTAGACCCCAGCCTATGGTAGTTGACAGCCCAGAATGAAGGGGCCACTACTGGTGTCCTGCAAAAGCCCTGCCAATGGTGTGTGTGGCGGGTGCGTGTGCGTGCGTGCGTGTGTGTGTGTGTGTGTGTGTGTGTATGTGCGCGCGCGCGCGTATTTGTGTGTGTGCGCGTGCGTGCGTGCGTGCGCGTGTGTGTGTGCGTGTGCGTGTGCGTGTGTGTGTGTGTGGGGGTGTGTGTGCATTTGGCGGGGGCGGGAGGGGGCGATAGTGGAAGCAGAGGGGCTGGGGCCAGGGTGAAGCGCGGTTGAATCAGCCGCTGGAGCTCCGAAGCCCACGTGACCGGGCAGCACGTGGGAGAGGTGGTGGCCGCTCGAGGCTGCCAGAGCACGTGACAGGAACGTGGTGAGCACGAGCTCGCTCACGTCCAAGCCTCGCGACAGTTACCAGTCCTGGGCCGAGCCGTTGGACTCGCGCCTGCGCACAAGCACACCTCGCGCCTTCCCGCGTTTTTTCTGGAGTCTTCCGCCGCCGCTGGACGGGAAGCGAAGGGAAGCGGCGGGCGCCTGTGTCGTAGGTGCGGTGATTGCAGCCATCAGAGGGGTGGACCCCAGTTGGTGACTTTTCCTCAACCCTACTCAGCTCAGGCAGTGAGGTTCCTCTTTAACCTGAGAATACGCCTCCTACCCCCCTGTCTCCTCCCCGCCCCATCCCACTCCCCGCCCGCCCTCCGGTCCGCTTCCTCCTCCATGCTAGTGGCCTCCTCCATTTCCAGGACCGGAAAGACAGAGTCCGTAAGCGTTTAGGAGGTTCCTCGGCCCAAAGAAACTTACCCCAGGGAGGGTCAGACTCACCATCGTACGGAAAAGTAGAGAACGCGAACTTTCCTGGCCTTATTCTAACGGCGCCACCACCCCACCCCTCCCCAGTTCGTTAAAAATGGCCTATTCCGTGTGGAATCAAGTAGTACTAACTTTCTAGAAATGTACGTCTGGGTGCTTTTCGATTTTTGTGTTTTTGTTCGTTACGTGTTTGCCGTTCACTTGCACCAGGCACTTTCCGCTTCCGAATCGGGAGTGGGGTCTGCTCTGGCGTGTGCCTTGCTCTGCCCTTGGAAAGCAACTCCAGCCCCATAGTCTGCATCTGTCTTCATATATATATATATATATATATATATATATATATTAAAAAAATAAAAAAAATATATATATATTTTTAATTAAAGTATTACATATCATATGTCTGTCTTTAATGCCCAGGTGCCTTAGGTCAAGACGGTCTTTTGTGTGTGTGCCGCGCCCCCCCCCTCCCCCTCCCCCCAGTTCCGAGCAGTTCCCTCGGAAAGCAAAGGGGTAGCTGGGAGGGAGAAGTGGGAGGATAGGAGCCATTTTCTCTCTTTCCTCCTCCAGCTGGTCCACCATGTCGACCCTTCGACCTGCCTCCTCCTGGCTCCGTAGCTCCTCCTCCCCAAGCAGTATGTCCTCCCCGCTGCAACGAGGTGTACTGAGGAGCCTGTCCACGTCCAGTTTGTATGTCAGTGTGCCCTGTGATGACAGAGACTCAGACCAGACTTCAGAGGGGTGAGTGGAGTTGGCAAAAAGTTGTTACCTTGTCTGGCTTTTGCCTGCATGGTGGGCAGCTTTCCCCTCTGTCTTTTTACCTGCGGGATAGTAAAAGATGCTCTGTTGGTTCACAACAGTGCCCCCTTCCAATTCTGCTGGCTGTTTTTATCTGTTCTACATGTTGCAGACATTAAGAATAACACATGCTGTTCTAAATCTGCCACCCAACTAGTCAGACCTTTCCTGAACACATTTGTATATTCAGCATGTACAACCTCTGGTGGAAGCAGGGACCCAGGGGAAGAGGAAGTAAAGAGTTCTTTATTTGTTACCTGACATGTAGTGGGCAACTACCACGTTGTAGTTGGTGTCCTTTAGTGCTTTTATTTGGGAATTTTATATACAGGTACTTTATCCTTGTTACCATTTTTGAGCTTTTACTGTGCAAGTTATAATACTCTATCTTGTTTTTTTTTTAATCTTTTCAGAAAAAAAAATCATATACAAACATCTGATTTATCCCCTGGTTATTTCAGTTGACTTCCTCCAAATCATTCTGTTTCTGACAATACTACTATTCAGAATCAGATTATATCTGTATTATAAATTTAATGGGAATCAATAAAACATGTGTGAACTTGTTTCAAGGAGTGGAATTTAACTTTAGGTCTATATTAATCTCCTGTTTATGTAGAAGAAATATTATTTCCCAAGCCATGCTCACTTTTCTCCACATAGCAGTGATCCCTCCACCTGCTTAAATAGATATTATTTTATTTTATTACTAGAGGCCCAGTGCACAAAATTCAAGCACAGGTGGGTTCCCTAGGCCTGGCTGGCCTATCAGTGCTTTCTCGCCTAGTCACGATTGGGACTGGCCAGCTGGGGCCTGGAGGACAGGGCCTGCCAGACAGGGGGAGGGATGGCGGGAGGTTTCCCAGCTGCGGGAAGGGACCAGGCGAGGTTGGCTAGCCATGGGAAGTTGGCAGTGGGAGCACACTGACCATCAGGGGGCAGCTCCTACATTTTCAGTGTGCATCATAGTGACTGGTCTACTGGTCATTCAGTCGTAACTGTCACTTAGGCTTTTATGTATACTTGTATAGATTTAGAGACTATTAGTAAAGGATTTTAGGTCCTCATTCTTCATCTCCATTGCTTTAATCCAGTTATTTTCCTTTAATACTTTGTCCCTACTGGTTAACAGCTCATGTCTTCCTGAAGAAAATCTGAATATATTTTTCTCATGGAGACGGGGTACAGTTAGAAATAAAAAGAAATTATAATTTATTTACCCTTTCCTGTCGAGGAACTGGGGTATTGTATTTAAGGAGAAAAACATTCCCTTATAGGGATAGTGATTCTTTGTCAGCTGATGAAGGCAGTGACTTTGAAGACAGCTTAAGACGCAATATGAAGAAGAGAGCAGCAAAACGACCGCCCAAAACAACCCCTGTGAGTCAGCTTTTGTTTTCAAACCTGGTCTGGGAAGCAGCCAAAGACAACCTCAGAGAGGCTCAGGAGATATGTTTGATGAAAGGACAAGACTTGTTAAAGAGTTTAAAGAGCCTGGCAGTGGGGTTCAGAGGTAGACTATGGACCCAAGAACCAGGCTTGTTCCAAAGTAGGGGGTGTGCAGAAGGCAAGATGATCAGTGATTCTCTCATTGATGTTTTTATCTCTCTCTCCCTCTCTTTCTCTCTCTGAAATAAAAACATTTTTTAAAAAGTTTTGAGACAGAGTAAGAAGAAGGCAAATTTTGAAGAGAAAAGAAAAGAAAAGGGTTATTAAGATTCAGAGGAACAAGAATGGGGCTAAGGGACTTTTTAAGAGAAAAAGTTCATAATATAAAAATTATTTCATTGTTGGACTGCCTTGAATCCTTTGTGGAGAAAGGTTATAAATAAAAATAAATAACATAAAATAAAATAAAATAAATTATTTCAGATCTAAGCAGTAACTCAAACTGCTATATAATTGGCAGCTAAAGCCTACCTATGTGATGATGAAACTACATGTTAACGTCATTTTTAAAAAATACTCCTCATCTCTTTATACTTATTAGGTGGCAAAACATCCTAAGAAGGGGCCTCGAATGGGACGTGGTCATAGCCAGAAAGAATCAGAGCCACCAGCCAGTGATCTCTTTGATGCTGTAAAAGGTGCCAAAAGTGACATGCAGGTAAAACAGTTTCACTCTGTTTCTTGATACCATTTACCTTTTTGTAGGGTGAAAAGATAAGGACAAGTATCTACAAACTTGATTTTAGTGAATATAACCTGTATCAGGAAAGACAGATGAGATCATGAAGTGAAATAAGGGAGACTTTAGATGAGAGAGATTGTTCCTTTCCTAACTATCACCGAGCAATGAAGCAGGGAGAGGCATTGGATAATCTAGAGAGCTTGGATATGGGTGGCATTCGGACATCCCCTTATCACGTTTTAGTTTCATTCTGACAGTTACACCTAATTTCTTTTTCCCCATCTTACATTTTTTTATAGCTGATTGTAATTCTGTAATAAAGTATATTAAAAAATTTTAAGTATGTAAAAAAATTTTAAATGATGATCCAGAACTTCAGCCCTAGCTCAAGAAATGAAATAATAGTGCTTTGGAGACTCTTCTATATCTTCCTTCTACCCTACCCCCACAGTCCCCTCACTACCCAGAGACAACCACTAGAGTGAATTTTCTATTAATCATTTCCTTGTCTTTACATTATAGTTTTATCACCAGGAAATGTGTTCTTTAATTTAAACAAATGCATCATTCTTATATAGTTTTCTGTGACTTAATTATTTTAATTGTTTGAGATTCACCCATGTTGATATATAATGTAGATTTTTATAGTTTTTAGAAACTAAAAATTTTCAAGCATTGCATTTTTCTATTTCTATTTTTATTGATTTCTAATGCTATTGCATTATAGTTAGAAAATGTGGTCTTTGAAACTTGGAGACTAGCTTTATGACAGCATTTAGTCCTTATCCAGAAACTATTCCACATATGTTTGAAGGATGTGTGTTCTCCAGGTGTTGAGTCTAGGGTTCTCTT